AGCATATTACCCACATCCCGAGAGATACTTGATGATTGTTCCTTCAGCTGGAGGATTTTGCTCGCAGTTTCTTGTTCAAGGCGCTTTACATTAGCACCAGAATCTCCGCTGCTCTGGTATACCAGTAAATAAGAAAAGGGTAAGTATGTGGACAAGCTAGCATGTATAGTCAAATTGAGAAGATACGCGTGGATTTTACCGCAGCAAGCTTCTTCTGGAACTCAGCTTCCATGTGGGCACGGAATTCAGCAACCTCCTTCTCAGCTTCTTCCTTCGCCTGCTTCAGCCTGGCCATCCTTGCTGGTAGTGCATAAAAATTAGTAAGTACGTCAATCACCAAATAGAGGACGTACAAATCTAATAGGTTAGAATGACATTTTGGTTCATAGAATCAAAGCTTCCCAAGTTTAGTATTGTTGACCAAACCCCAACTGTGACTTCAGGGTTTTCACATCGTAGCAAGGACCTTTGGCATGGTATTAGAGAAATTCAAGTTCAAACCCCTCCAGCCACATATTTAAAGCGGATGCTAAAAAGAATGATACCGATGGGTGAGTCCAAGTTTCGGCCACGCACTCAATCTGCAGGGGCATTAAACTACTATAACCCTCAACCCTCACCAATACTTTCAGAGTTCTGGTGCAGCGGAAGGGTCCTTTGACGTGTAGAAATTAAAATATGGATGAGAGATGTGATGCATATAGTGTTGTATGTAACAAAAACAGAATCAGTTCCAAGAGAATATCCCTAAATAGTAGGAATTGGCTACAACAAATATTCAAAAATATTTGAATTCTTCGGCACTCCCCCTTACCCCTTACGCTGAGAGTGGAAGCATTGCATGAAATTGGATTGATATTAAGGAAGGTGCAACAGCATGTAGGTTTTCTACTGATTCTTCTCAATATCAATGCTCTCCAAGAAAGCCTATAATCATTTTATCCGGTTGCTCAAGCTTTCTCTCCTGCATATGAGAATAAGAGGATAGCAAGACTGCATGGGAGAAGAGGTCGGCAAGACTGCATGCCAGAAGAGGTTGACAAGACTACATGCCAAAAGAGGTGGACAAGATAGCATGAGAGAAAAATAGGTTAATAGACTGCATGCAAGATAAAGAGGCCGAAAGACTACATGCTAGAAGAGAATGCTGAAGAGACAGCATGTAAGAAGACCATGCCGATGATATGGCATGTGAGAGACTAGAAAATGCTAATACAAGATGAACTTGAAGGATTTGATCAAGTTGAATGTGCTGAAAAAAGTATGGTCTGAGAAGGCTGATTACCGTCCATCAGGTATGATGATTATCAGATGAAAACTAGAACTAATACTCTCTAGTAAAAAGAAAACAAAGAGAAATATGATCTATAGACCTAGTGTCAAGAATCCAAGCATTAAAGGAGATCACGTAACGGCAACAACTGGTTAATACCCAGTAGATTTGCCTTTAGAGACTCATTTATCTCACAAAGAATGTGTAAAGAAAAATGCAGGTTTAGTCAGCGGTGAAGGTAGGACTGTAGAAGCAGAAGTAGTGCTTGTTAAGATAGATGTGATATCAGAGGCTGCGTAGGATCTCGTCTGCTTTTCACAGAGATGAAGACGATAGCAGGATAGCCGAAAATCTTGTAGCAAGCGTCATGATTGTGACCAACCATTTAGCAGAAGAAGCATATGTCTATAGATCATGTTAGGTCCAGAAGATGAGTGAAACACAACTTGACAGAAGGTACAGCAGAGGATAAGAATATGACTGAGTTATCAATGGTAATGTATGAAGTATTGGCTTGCAGCTTGGAGAACGAGAGAGTAGACACGTTCAATATTGGGAAGGGGATCAATAAGAAAATCTAAATACGAACGTTGGAGTAAATCTCATTAACATGAGAAATTGCATGAGCTGAAATCATTAACATGAGAAATTGCGTGAGTTGAAGCTGTTGTGAAGCTTCGAAGATCATGGCAGGGATCGCATGTGCACGTTGATAAGTATGATAGGGTGAAAGTTCGTCC